CCCTCAGAAACCAGGCACCCATGGGGCCGTGGCCAGTGCCGTGGTGTAGCAAAGCAGTCACCTACAATGCCAGGATCCCACTGTGTGGGCACTGGTTCATATTCCGGATGCTCCACTTCTGATGCAGTTCCCTGCTGACGCTCCTGGGAAGGCAGCAGAGGATGGCCCAAGTGCCAGGGTCCCTGCACCCACGTGGGAGACCCAGGTGAAGCTCCTGGCTTTATTCTGGCACACCTGGTCCCATCTGCAGAGTGAACCAGGAGGGAAAGACCTGTGCGTGCTCTTTCACTCTCTGTCTCTCCCTCTCTCAACTCTGCCTTTCAAACAGATTTAAAAAGAAAAAAGAGCCATGATGTAGACTCGTGAGGATCATAGGGGGCGGTCTCCTTTCCACACTCATATGAAGTGTGTGTGTGTGTGTGTGTGTGTGTAAATATGTGTCAGTGTGTGTGCATATGAGTATGTGTGTGAGTGTACGCGTTGGGTGTGACTGTGCATGGTGTGTGTGTATCTGTGGTGTAGACACTGGACAGTGTGTTCCGTCAGCCGTGACTGCCATCGGTGGCCAGCGCCCTCACAGCGCCTGCCATTCTTCCCCATGTGTTGACCACAAGGCCTTTGGTTTGGTGAAAAGGACCCAGCATGGTGCCAAGGCAAGGAAGAAGATGTATCTAAGCCCACAGGCACCTGCCTACCCTGGGCACAGGAGCAAAGCTGACCCAGCTGGGGGTGTTCAAAGGCCTGGCACCTGCTGCCAGCCACCATCGAGGACCTGCTACTTAGAGGGACATGAGCATGCCTCCACCAGCTCGGCACTCACAGCAGAGAGGGCGGCTCTAAAGCAAGGAAGCGAGCAAGTACAAAAGAGTGACCTAACCCGCAGGAGGGCAGGGGCTCGTGGGGCCTGGGGTGTGGGCTTGCAAACAGCCTGGGGCATGGAACCTGCAGGGGCATGCGGAGACCCGGGGGCACATGCCCAGGCAGGCAGAGTGAGCCTGGGGATCTCCCCATGTCCTTGGTCCAGGGCTGGGTGGGGAGAGGGGAGGCAAGAAACCTATGCGAGCATGCCAGCCCGGTGTGCTGGTGGACCTGGCTTGGGGAGCCTTGACTGCGCCTAGGTTTTGAATGAATGGAGGGGTAGGCTCCCAGGTCAGCACACATGCTAGGCGCTTGGGACCCTGGGGAGCAGGCAGAGATCTGGGCCAGCACGCCACCCCATCAAAAGACTGGGCTTAGGAAGGGTAGGCTGGGAACCCATGTGCTTCCGGGAGCAGAAACTGTAAATTGACCAGAGCAAGGGGATGTGTGGGCAGGAAGACCGCTGAAGGAGTATGAGAAATGACCTCTGAGGGACTTCCACCAACAAGGCCACTGTACTTGCAGGTAAGCAAGGTGGCTGAGACCAAGCAGTTTTGGAGGCGGGAGGCTGGAAGACATTTACAGGTTGGACCAATGCACCAGCTCACATGGGAGACCGGAGCTGGGCTAATCAGCATGGACTGCAGCTGACCACACGCTAAAGCCAGGGCTGGGGCCTACCTGGCAGGGCTAGTGACCCACCATGAGTCACAACAGGAGATGGGTAATGTCAGGCTGGGCCATGACACTGACCAACATGCAAGAGAACCAGGTCTGGAGGCAAATCCTGTGGGGGATATGTGGACCTACCCCTGTGGAACCGCAATTTCCACTGGGGGTAGGGATGGACTAAGCTAAGCATGGCCATGGAACGCTCCAACATTCATGGGTATGGGATTAGGAAAACAGGTCAGGCAGGTTCAATACACACAGGCACACCCAAGAATGGAATGAGAGGCAGGCCAGGCTGCAACATCTACCAGCTCATACAAAGGCCAGAACAGAGGGGGCAGACTACACCAGGTAGAGGCCCAGCATCCATATGTGAGATCTGGGCCCAGGGTGAGCCTGGTCAGGGAACTTGGGAAACTCCCCTGGTGGGCCAGAGCTCCCACTGGTGAGCATGCGATTCAGGCCTGGGTACTGCTCAGGCCGGGCAAGGTAGGTAGTTCCATCCATTGGCAAGTGTTGGCTTGGTTCTAGATGAGGGTGGACCAGGTAGGACTGGACCAACCTTAGCCCACTGATGTGCAGGAGCCAAGTTGGAGTGCAGGTCATGCCAGGCTAGGCTATCATACCTACAGTTTGCATGAGCCAGGAATGAAAGCAGACTGGGCAGGGCTGGGCTGCAGCACCCACCAGCAAGAGTTGGAACTGAAGGCAAGCTAGGGGATGGGCTGTGCCAAGCTGGCACACACAAGAATTGTGACTAGGAACAGGCTTGGCTGGGGAACTAAGGAGATTCCCTGGCTGGGTGGTGGTTCCCACTGCTCAGTACAAGGGCTGGAATGGGGGCAGCGATGTGGGCTGGACATGACAGCAGTGTCCCTTGGCATGAGTGTGACAGGATTGCCTTGATTCTAGCACCCAGGGATGCTCACGAGAGCCAGGGTGTAGGCAGGCTAGGCTAGGTCTCAGCTCCTGTTGAAACATGCAAGAGCTGTGTCCAGGGCCTAGCCCAGGTGTGGCTGTGCTGTATCACCCAATAGTAAGAACTATAACGAGGGTGGGCTGGTTGGGCAGGGCCACTGCTCTTGACGGTCACACTGGGCCAAGAGCCCCCCGTGTGTATAAGAGCTGCTCACACTGGGCCAAGAAACGCCCTCCCCCCGCCCCTGTGTGTACAAGAGCTGCCACCGGGAGGAGACCAGACAGGGCAGCTTGGTGAAATCCTTTGTAAAGACACAATCCCTGCAGGTGAGCACAGAAACCAAGCCAGGTTATGGTGCCCACTGGCATAGGTGTGGCTCAGGTCTCAGCCTGATCAGTTCATAATACCCGCTGGCAGATCAGAGAATCAGGAAGGTGTACAGAATGGGCCAGGCTGGCCACAACACGAACCAGTTCACGTTAGTGCTGGGACTGGGAGCAGGCTGGGCTGGGCTAGGCTGCAGAACCCACCAGCCTGAGCTGGAACTGGGAATAGGCCAGGCCCGGCCAGGCTACAATATCTGCTGGCAAATACTGAGCTGATGTGGGCCATGCCAGACTGGACCACAGCAGCCACCAGCACATGCAAGACCCAGTGGGCGGGGTGGGGGAGGATTGCAGGGAGCTCCCCTAATGGGACACTGCTCCCACTGGGACAGACTGGGACAGACAGGACCACAACACCTGTTGGCCTACATACGAAGAGTTGGGGGAGAGCCATGCTGGGCTAGGCAACTGTTTCCACGCGCATGAGTCAATGCAAGGGCAGGCTGGTCATCAGCTGGCATCTGCTGCGACTGGGGGCAAATCCTGTTAAGCTAGACTGCAGAAGAACATAGAGAGTGCAACATCCAGGACTAGAAGTGGGTACAGTAGGGAAACAGTGGGCACCCCTCTGATGGGCTGCAGCTCCCACCGATGGACATGACAACCAGGGCTGGGGCAGGGCCTGGCTAGATAGGCGGTAGCACCCACCAGCATGAATGTGGGCTGGATGGTGGGGTAGGCTGGGCTGAGCTAGGTTTCAACGCCCATTGATGTGTATGAAAGATGAATGGAATGTGGGACAGACTGGACCAGTATGTTGCACATGCTGGCAAGCCCAGGAACCAGGTGTGGGGGTGGGCCTTGTGAGGGTTATTGGGGGTCACTCCAACTACGCTGCAGTTCCCGCTGGAGTACATGAGGGCCGAGTGTATGGTGGGCAGGGTTGGGCTGCGTCACAGCATCCATTGAATTACATATGAGATGGGGCTGGAGACAGAATCGACCCAGCAATTGCAACTACCTGTGAGTGTGTATTCTGACATGGGTGATCAACTGAGCCGGACACACACAAGAGTCAGGTCTGGGACCATTTCAGACGAGGTTTCTTTGGGGATCCCTCCAACTGAACTCCTAAGCTCAGAACTCCAACACTGGGAGAATCATAGGATCTGTGGTCTGGCCGTGCAGTGTCTGTGTAAGAACGGGGCTGTCTTAGTGGCTTACACATGTGCCCGATGCACACGGAGGACATGGCAGTCCACTGGGGCCTGCAGAGGACATCTGCTACCAGTGCAGAGGAAGACAGGCAGAACAACTACCCCAGCCAAGCGTTGGCAGCACATATCTGGGTAAACGGAGACTCTAAGGTGGATTGTCAGCAAATGGGCTGTGGAAGGATTTCCTCATCTTTGGAGCAGCGAGATCGACAGCATTTCAGAATTATCAAAACCATTCTAACAGGACCTCAGAGCACTGTCCACACTGGGGCCCTGGGATGACAACGGGTGGCCATTCCCCATCTCCAGGTACTGCGGTGGTGGGGAGGCTGGGGGCAGCTTCCTCCCTCTATGCGCCCCCTTCCCCAGACACAGGAAAAAGAAAAAGAAAATTTGGAAACAATGGCGTCACCCCTTTCGCCTAATCCTTGATCCATCCCACCCCAATCAACTTTGTAAGCATCATCAAAAATAATATATATATATATATACACACACACATACAGTGGCCAGTTCTGTCAGCTCTCACCCAAGGTTTCCAGGGGTCTGCACCCTGAGCCTATAGCCACAATCGGCGATTCAGCAGAAAGGGTTCAGAAGGACGCCGACAGGTTTGCCAGCAAACTCAGAGGGCATTAATATCTGTGCTGTTCCTTCCTTCCACAACAGAGCCAACAGGCAGTGTGGAAGCTGCGAGTCTCTACAGGCGCCAAGCAGAACAGGACAGTCCTAACTCCATTAACAAGGGCCACCCCACTTCTCCAACCTCCAGAGTATAGGCTCAGGGGCCAGACCAGCACACCTGCAGGGACACCAGCACCTGGCCTTGCCCCACCTCCAGTTAGACGCTGGACAGTGCGTCTGCAGTGTGTCGGTGTGGCCGAGCGTGCCTGCCGTGCTACAAGTTCTTTGCAGACGGAGGCTGCCTGTAAGACACGCAGCTGAGGCAGGGAAGGCAGCCGAGGGCAGCAGGTGAGAGCAGGCCCCGGGGTGGCCGGCAGCACTCACCGTAGTGAGGGATGATACTCCAGGCCATGGCCGACGCATAGATGCCCCCGGTCATCCAGAACATGCCCAGCCAGCTGAGGTGCTCGCCTCGCTTCTCCCGAGACAAGAATTCAGAAAAATAGGCGAAGACAATCGGTAGGGTCCCCCCGATGCTGCAGAGAGAGAAGGCCAGAAAGCACAAATGAAGGCCCTGGTGCTGCAGTGGGTGGTGACCACGCCTCCTGCAATGGCAACATCTCACAGGACACTGGTTCAAGTCCCGGCTGCTCCACTTCCCACCAGGCTCCCTGCTAACAGCCTGGGAAAGCGCAGAGCACCGCCTAAGTGTCTGGGCCCCTGCACCGACATGACAGGAGACAGGTACAAGGTCCAGATGCCTGGCTCAATCTGTGGCAGCATCCAGAACATGGCAAGCCTGTGCCCAGCACCCCTAGACCCCCTCAGCACCAGTGGGGCAGGCCCTGCTGGAGCACACCCTCTGGGTACATACCCTAGGCCTGAGAGCAGTCGGCAGAAGAGGAAGGCTCCATAGCCCTGTGCGAAGGAAGAGAGGGTGGCAAAGCAGGCATTGACGGCCAGGGACAGGGTGAGGACACGCTTCCGGCCCAGCTTGTCGGCCAGGCCACCCAGGATGAAGGCCCCAGCCATCATGCCGAGGTAGACGATCAGCCCTGTGGAGAGAATGAGGTAGAGGCCACATGGTGCTCCTTCCTGCACAGCCCAATGCCCTCGCGTCACGGGCATGAGGTGAGACGCAGCCAACTCAAGCCCTGGCACACAGCACCCAGGCTCACAAACATGCATTTCTGCTAGCATGGTGCCCCTGGCGCTCACTGACGGGGTACTTCCCGGTGCCACCTGTGGACGCAGCAGCCAGCAGCTACAGGTGTGAGCCCACACCGGGGTGTGATGGCTTCCCCTGGAGTCTACGTGCAGAGCAGTCGGGAGGTGGTCTCAATAAGCTGTCTGGTAGAACCCAACTAGAATCATGTCAGACCTTTCTGTTCCCACCAGGTACAGATAAGAGACTACAGGTGTAGGACACGGTACAGGTGTAGGACACAGTACAGGTGTAGGACACAGTACAGGTGTAGGACACAGTACAGGTGTAGGACACAGTACAGGTGTAGGACACAGTACAGGTGTAGCACACGGTACAGGTGTAGGACACAGTACAGGTGTAGGACACGGTACAGGTGTAGGACACGGTGCAGGTGTAGGACACGGTGCAGGTGTAGGACACGGTGCAGGTGTAGGACACGGTGCAGGTGTAGGACACGGTGCAGGTGTAGGACACAGTACAGGTGTAGGACACAGTACAGGTGTAGGACACAGTACAGGTGTAGGACACGGTGCAGGTGTAGGACACATTACAGGTGTAGGACACGGTACAGGTGTAGGACACGTACAGGTGTAGGACACATTACAGGTGTAGGACACGGTACAGGTGTAGGACACGTACAGGTGTAGGACACAGTACAGGTGTAGGACACATTACAGGTGTAGGACACGGTACAGGTGTAGGACACGTACAGGTGTAGGACACAGTACAGGTGTAGGACACGGTACAGGTGTAGGACACAGTACAGGTGTAGGACACGGTACAGGTGTAGGACACGGTACAGGTGTAGGACACGGTACAGGTGTAGGACACGGTACAGGTGTAGGACACGGTACAGGTGTAGGACACAGTACAGGTGTAGGACACGGTACAGGTGTAGGACACGGTGCAGGTGTAGGACACAGTACAGGTGTAGGACACAGTACAGGTGTAGGACACGGTGCAGGTGTAGGACACAGTACAGGTGTAGGACACGGTGTAGGTGTAGGACACGGTGCAGGTGTAGGACACAGTACAGGTGTAGGACACAGTACAGGTGTAGGACACAGTACAGGTGTAGGACACAGTACAGGTGTAGGACACAGTGCAGGTGTAGGACACAGTACAGGTGTAGGACACGGTGCAGGTGTAGGACACATTACAGGTGTAGGACACGGTACAGGTGTAGGACACAGTGCAGGTGTAGGACACAGTACAGGTGTAGGACACAGTACAGGTGTAGGACACAGTGCAGGTGTAGGACACAGTACAGGTGTAGGACACGGTGCAGGTGTAGGACACGGTGCAGGTGTAGGACACGGTGCAGGTGTAGGACACAGTACAGGTGTAGGACACAGTACAGGTGTAGGACACGGTACAGGTGTAGGACACAGTACAGGTGTAGGACACAGTGCAGGTGTAGGACACAGTACAGGTGTAGGACACGGTGCAGGTGTAGGACACGGTGCAGGTGTAGGACACAGTACAGGTGTAGGACACAGTACAGGTCTAGGACACGGTACAGGTGTAGGACACAGTACAGGTGTAGGACACGGTGCAGGTGTAGGACACAGTACAGGTGTAGGACACGGTGCAGGTGTAGGACACAGTACAGGTGTAGGACACGGTGCAGGTGTAGGACACAGTGCAGGTGTAGGACACAGTACAGGTCTAGGACACGGTACAGGTGTAGGACACAGTACAGGTGTAGGACACGGTGCAGGTGTAGGACACAGTACAGGTGTAGGACACGGTGCAGGTGTAGGACACGGTGCAGGTGTAGGACACGGTGCAGGTGTAGGACACAGTACAGGTGTAGGACACGGTACAGGTGTAGGACACGGTACAGGTGTAGGACACGGTACAGGTGTAGGACACGGTGCAGGTGTAGGACACAGTACAGGTGTAGGACACAGTGCAGGTGTAGGACACGGTACAGGTGTAGGACACGGTACAGGTGTAGGACACGGTACAGGTGTAGGACACGGTGCAGGTGTAGGACACAGTACAGGTGTAGGACACGGTGCAGGTGTAGGACACGGTACAGGTGTAGGACACGGTGCAGGTGTAGGACACGGTACAGGTGTAGGACACGGTGCAGGTGTAGGACACGGTGCAGGTGTAGGACACGGTGCAGGTGTAGGACACAGTACAGGTGTAGGACACAGTACAGGTGTAGGACACAGTACAGGTGTAGGACACAGTACAGGTGTAAGGCATGGTACAGATGCAGGGCATTTGTAAGTGTAGACTGGTGTTACTGCAAATGTGGATGTAGTGAGAACTGAGTCTGACCCATGTTGACCCTCACATTGACTCTCCCTGTTTTTCCTTGTTGTCCTGCCCATGCTTGTCCAGTGTGTGTTCATGGCAGTCGAGAGGGAACAGCTGTCCGTGCTCCTGTGCTGAGTTAGCACATACCACTGGAGACAGAATTTGAACTCATAGGACCCTGACCTACTCCTGACTCCCCACGAGATCTGACATGTCATGTGTTTTCTTGACAATCAACTGTGGGGTCTCTAGATCTGAAGTGGAGTCGCCTAGGGAGACATTAGGTGACCCAGACATTCCCCAGATCCCCAGTGGTACATCTCTCATCACCCTTCACTCCTAAACACTCTTCTGCAGAGCCCCGTGCATCTCACTGTGGTCCTCTGCCCCACCAACACACACTCCACTCAGTGCTCCACCTGCCGCCTGTCCTCCAGCACTGCCCACCTGCCCACGCCCCACTCGGTGCTCCACCTGCCCCACTCGGTGCTCCATCTGCCCCACTCGGTGCTCCACCTGCCGCTCACTCCCCGGGTCTCCCCACCTGCCCACCTTGGTGCTCCACCTGCTGCTTGCTCCCCAGGTGTCCTGGCCTACTCGCACTAACAGACACCAGGCCAGAGGCAGCAAGGCTCTGCAGTCAGAGCTGCCATCCCAGATGTACGGTGAGCAGACAGGCAGATCTGAGAGTTTCAGGGTCCAGAGACCTGGGCAGGGCTCCAGGCTGCTCCCTTCAGGATGGGGGCCAGTCAGCAGTTCTCCCAGATCCTTAACTGAGAGCGAGAGTAGGTCTGTGTCAACGATCCCCTCCCTCCCTCACCCTCTGTCTGTGACAGAGAGTGACCACTGGGAACACACGCCTACCGAGCATGCCTTTCTTGGAACTGGACAGGCACATGTCCTTCTCGGCGCTGGGCAGGGCGAAGCTCACCACAAACACCTCCACGCCGTCGGCCATCAGGGCCAGGCCCAGGACGAAGAAGAGTGTCCACTGGAAGCGCCCATGGCTGCACTCCTCGATGATGGTCTCGTACTGGTGGGCCAGCTGCTCCTCGTCCTCCAGCCTCTCGGCCAGCAGCTCGGCCCGACCCCGCGGCCCGTCCGCCCCGGGCACCGCCCCCTTGGCCTGCCTGGCCTTCACATCATCCGGGTGAGGGATGCCCTGGTACTCGCCCTCGTAGATCTCGTCCTCCTCGTCGTGGCCCTCGGTGACGTCACTCTGAGCGTCCTCCTCCGGGTTGGACTCCTGGCCGTGGTAGTGGCCCTCATAGTTGTCCTGGTAGCCGTAGTCGTCAGGCCCTTGGTCCCAGGGCTGCCTGCTGTGTCGGTACCCATCATCCATCACGAGGCCAGAAGGTAGGATATGCGCATGCGACACCTGGGTGACTGTCACGCCTGCTCACGCTCCCCTTCCGCTCTTGAAGCAGGCACCCCCGTGGCGGCTCCTGGGACGTCTCAAGCCCCGCCTGGCCCTGTTCAACAACCCAGAGTCCCAGCCTCGCTGGCTGCTGGAGATGCGACCCTGTGAGGAGACAGGGAGAGGGACACGTGTTACAGCAGGTGGAATGGCGGCCAAGTATGCCCGGACTGCATCCTCCCCGGAACAATGCTCAGGCGCCGGCGCCACATGAAGGGACTCCAGGCCTGAGTGAGAGCCATGTGGTACCACTGAAGGGTGAGGGAGGAGAGCGGGTGCCCCCGGGTGGTGGGGACAGGCACATGATGTGCCACAGGAGGTGACCATTTCAGACACAGACCTGCTGCCGTGGCACAGCTGGTCCTGGTAACCAGGAGCTGTCACAGCTGAGCGTCTGTTAGGCAAAGGCCAGCCTGGACATGTCAACCAACAAGAGGACACATGATTCTCACCCCAGATGGGCACAGCAGCAACGCCCAAGAACCAACTTCCTGAGGCCCAGCCTCCCTGTGGGACTTGGTCTGTGACCTTGCACTTGGATGACCTAGGGAGACAAGGGGGGGGAGGCTGAGGGCCCACAGCCAGGGAGCCTTTTGTTCCCTGGGCACATGTCTGCCTGAGCTTTAATCTTCCCATCTGTGAAATGGGCACAGCTGATGGGGTGACAGCCCAGGAAGCCCCCATGATGCTGTAACTTTCCTTTTTCTTACGGATGAGTAGCTGGCTCCAAGCACTCGGGAATAGGCCCAAGGTTCTGGCTCCAGAGCGCAATGGAGGGTGCAGAGAAGGGGCCACACGGATCGTGTCCAGGAAGGACCCTGCCAGGGAGGGACCATGCACATCGTGACCAGGAAGGACCCTGCCAGGGAGGGCAGACAAGGGGCCACGTGTATCGCGTTCCGCTCAGCATCAGTGCTGACTTAAAAAATGTGAAGGACTCAGGACTCAAGACGACATACTAAGAGTTAAATATCAACACCGACACTAAAATTCAGGGCTACAAGCATTAACACCAACATGGGGTGGGCAGGAGGGACACGGGCCAGCGTGTGCTGGGGGCCTGAGAACGCATTTACTTTGGTGGAAGAGCTGGAAGGATAATCATGATCAGAATAACTAAAGGAAACCCCCAGAAAAACAAAGCTGTCCTGAGACATCTATAAAAGTCACAGTCAATGGAAAACAGGAGAGGTAACAGGGAATTTTTCACAGGTATATGCAATTAAAAGAGACAGAGAAATAACCCCCAGTACAATGGTAACTATTATTAATGTCAAAAGTTAAGCTGAGTGATTAAAATATAATGTTCTCAGAGTGCACTTGGAAAGACGCCCATGAAAACACTGCCTGCGGGAGCTTGGTGTGAGGTCAGAGCACTCAGACTCGTTCAAAGTGCCAAGAGCGTGTACGTGAGCTGTGGCAGCAGGCAAGGCCCACTGTGCTGCAGTGCTGACCTCAGCAAGGACAGCAGATTCACGACGAGAGAGCAGAGAAGGCCCAGCAGACGGAAAATTGCCCAAGGGAGCCTGGCGGATATCAAGGGAAGGGGGAGGATCAGCTGGCCTCACCAGGTCCTTGCAGCTGAGGACTGGGTGAGGGGTTCGACAACTTGGGCAGCCGAGGACTGGGTGTGGGGTTCGACAACTCGGGCAGCTGAGGACTGGGTGAGGGGCTGGGCAACTCGGGCAGCCGAGGACTGGCAACTCATACCCTACGCTCTGCTCCTGCGGAGATGGATACAGAAAAGTATTAAACCAGCTGTAGTGTATACTCAACAAAACTAACAAATCCACCTTTATCTTCACAAGAGCAAACGTGTGTGGGTCATATTAAATCAAACATGCACACACCCAAAATCAAATAACTCGCTCATTCTCAGAGATTCTATCTTACCAGTCCCAGGGAGCCCACTCCTCTGAGGAAAGGAACTTGCTGAATTACATGAGAACCAGATGGCTTCCAGGGAACCCCAGGGCTGCGACTTGGAAAGACTTGGCAGCTTCCAGCACCCTGGACAGTAACTTTCCCAAGGCTCCTGCTGGCTGCCCAGGGAACTGGCCGCCTCATTCCTGGATGCTGCTGCCAGGCAGGAATTCACAGCTGAAACCAGACACTCAAACTCCTGTCCTACCAGAAGCACTTGGAGGCATTTCAGAATTCATCTTATCCAGGCAATACATGCACCGAGGGATCAGAACAATGGATCACGTCTAGCAACACCCAGGACTCCTGGATGCAGGGTTCCACCCCAGCAGGGGCTTAATGCTAATGCCTTCGAGCTCTGCTGAAACTGTGCTTCCTTCGCCCCTCAAAACTCCCTCCCTGATTATCACAAGAGGCCATGCTCGACCACCTGCTTCTAACATGAGAAAAACACGTGATTAAAAAAAAAAAACTTCCGAGAACGGAGAATGGACCTCTTTTGTATGTTTGGCTGATTTGTCATGCTGTCAAGAGGCAACCAGAATATTCTCTAGCTGCTTAAAGCTCTTTAAAGTGCCTTCCTGTTTCTAGAACTTGTTCTGGCAGCAGACAGCTATGGCCTCAGCCAAGTCAAGCAGTGTAGAAAGACACACAGCTCTGAAACCAGCTTATCTTATGGCTAGGCAGTAAATTTAACCCGTGCCCCTAATGTTGTTAACACACAACATGTGAATGACACTGCGTGCCAAAGACGCTGTGCAGAGAACCTCTCAGAGCAAAGAGGAAGTCACGCCCAGCTTCTCACACTGAGCACACTGGACAAACGTCCACACGGGCCAGCAAAGAAAGATTATCCCAAAGCAAACTCACAGCCTTGGTCAGAGGCTGTAGCAGTGGGGGCGGGAGGGGGAGTGGGAGAGGAGTGGGTGTCAGAGGAACCAGGAGGGATGGCCACGGGATGTGGCAACGGCGTCCACCACACAGAGCTGGTGCACAGGGAAGGCAGAGTCCAGCCACAGCACACAGCTCTGAGCCGTCAGCTCCTCGGTGGTAAAGCAAGATCCCAAGGGCCTCCAGAAGGATGGAGGCCAAGGAGTAGTGGGACAAGGAAAAAGCAGAATGGACATGGCTAGCCACTATTGTCCTCACCACTAGTAAGTCACAGCAACTTCATCTCCTGTCCCAGGACACTCCAAAAGGGGCACTGACCTGTGGGGCCAGGGGCTGGCAGCGCCCCACTTTGCCCGCCTCTGTGTGCACCACTGCGGACAGCACCCCCTCTGACGGCCTCCATGAGCCTGGGCCCCTCACTGCTCCGGAGACAGCAGAGTCCCCCGAAGGAGGGACAGCGTCGGCTGCTCCGTGGCCAGAGGACGGCCTCCATGAGCCTCCAAGACCCAGAGAGACGTAACAGAGAAACCCGCACATCACATCCTGGAGACGCAAAACCAAAATCCTTTGATGCTAAGGAGGTGATTTTTCTCATAAATGTCCTTTATCTGGTATTCAACTGGAGTGATTTCCATCTTTTCTTCCAAAATGCAAGACACGCGTGCTTCTGTCTTGAAGCAGACCCACAGTAACTGTCACTGCACTGCCAGTGATACACCAAGTCCACACGCATGCTCCTTGTGCAAATGTCTGCAAGATCTCCAGTTGTTGCGTATGTCCGTGGAGTTGCGGTGGTTTTCACAGCTCAGCTCTGCAGCTGGACCTGGTTGCTCCCCACATGTTCTTAGGATGGTTACATTCCTGGAAAGACTGGAATTTGGACTGTCGGCTTGATGGAGGGATTTCGTCGCAGTGACATTTTTTTCTCTCGGCTCTGGGTTCAACACCGTTGACTCACTGGTTTCTGGTGAACACTGCTGAACGTGGTTGATGACATCTGCTTGAGTTTTTGCAGTCTCTGTGGCCATACGCGTGTCACTAACGTTTGTCTTTCGTAAAAGTCGCTTGGAATTGTTATGTGTTCTATCTGTGTTTACTGACCTACACGTCTTGTGCTTTATTCTACCTGCATTTGTAAGCTATCTGTAAAAACACGGTAAGTTTATCGTGTCAGGGATAGGAAGTAATTCGAATCAACTGGTTATAATTTTTTTAAGTGTCTAGATGATTTTAAACCATTGCTAAAAACTCATTTATTTTGCCCCACAGTAAGGTTGTTAACACAAATTTCTTTGCTTTATGTAACTTAACTTACTAATAGGCTGTCTTTAAAGTATGTTAAGTCATTAATACATTTATATTTAACTTTACTGATCAAACAAATTTACAATGTAGTTTAATTGTTAACCTGAACTTTTGTCTTAAAATTATGACAAGCAGTAGGCCTTGAGCTGAGTATTTGATGGTTTTCACTTTATGTTGTTGCTAAGAGCAAGCAACTGGTTGACTCAGACTTAAAAACTTCCTTACAATCTTTAAGGCCAGGGCATAGTTAAAAAAGAAACACCAAAATTTTTAAATTATGTTTCAAAAGCAGAGGAAGGGATATACTACTAGCCCCTGTGAATGTGCTCATTTGGCTCTGCATTCACCTTAAGTCTAAATTCTCTTCAGATTTCTTCTTCCAGCAAGCCGCCACAAGCATCAGCTGGTGGCCCCTTACTGACACAATATAACTTCAATTCTATGGAAAAATTCAGCTATCTGAAAGGTGAGAAGGCCCCACCCCTTACCAACTCTGGGAAGAGGGTCTGATTATGTTTTTGTGGAAGGCAGTGTTTGTGGGTGCCGGCTCATAATGTGAAGCCTTGGACACTCCCTACCAGGGACACCCCTCCAACAAGACAACATCAGAATCTGGCCTTTGAAGACCCACCTTCAAGGAGACAATGGAAGAGGAGGAGGCCAGCCACTCCCAACACCAGGTGACATGGGGGAATCTTAAGAAATTGGTAGATCACACACAGCAACTCTCCCTGACCTCCTGAATTAAATCAGTCTCTAATAGATTAGAGCCACACAGAAATCTTCCACTTTAGAATGTTTGAGAA